TCTTTCCCTTGCATTTTTGCTTGATTCTTGAAGCTTTAATGTGGGTAAACCACTTTCATGAGGTAAAATCGGCTCCCTAAGCCTGTTCTTCCAATTTTCATCCGAGACTTTCAGGATTTTTGGTGGAGACGATGGAATTGGGGATATTTTGTGGAGAATTTTGATTTAGCCCGTAACTTGCATATAGTTTACATCCACATCAATTTTTAGCCTTATTCAGTTGAATTTTCATTGTTGTTACTTTTCTATGACTCCTAAAACCAAAGGAGGCAAGTCCAAGTCTTCATTTAACAAATAGAAGTGTGTAAGCTGTAAAGCTCAAGAGCATTACAATAGCTTTTTGGTGTTGAAAAGTTTGATAGTTGAGAGGGGATACATTAGCCCACGGGGTCAAGTGGAAAATATGATTGTTAGGCATAATTGGGAGAATTTTTGCTACACTACATCTGTAGTGGTGATTTTTGTAGTCAGGGAATTCTATGAGAACCTTTATGATGCCTCTGATGAATCGCTATTTGTGAGGGAAAAGCAGATGGATATCTCCCCTTCACGCATTAATGTGTTATTTTCATTGAGAGATGTCCATGGGAGTTTTACTTCAGCTTTTCCCCTATTGATTCTGAGTTAGATGAGATCATTAGATTCTTGACCAATGGTGGAGGGGCTTGGAAGGTGAGGAATGACCATAAGATGAACTTTTTTTCATCTAAACTAAATGCACCTTCTAAAGCTTAGCACTACTTCATTTTAGTCAAGCTCCTACCCTCCACCAGTTTGAGTGAGGTTACGGGAGAAAGAGAGAGAGCTACTCTCAACTACTACATCCAGACCATGAAATCTATATATATAAAAAGCATTGATCTATAATTCCATTATCAATGCTACAAAAAGGAGATCCACTTTAGGGTTAGGACATCCTTCAACTATTTTTGCCCTTTGTCAGCATTTAAGAGTTACTTTGAGAAATGGGAGGAGTTGCTTCATCTGTTGAAACCCATTGCCAAGGCCAATGTGAACTTTTATAGTAAGCATGCTACTTTGGGGCGCAGAGCGAGTTATTCTCAACCTTCCACTTCTTATTCTCAATCTCGTCCCTCCATTAGCATAACTTCTATGTCAGAGAGATTGAAGACATTATAAGATGACATCACTATTATTCAAATTGAAGTTTATGATATTGCTGACCATTTCACTCATTTAGATTGGCAGAATAAATGCCAATATTGTCATCTCGCCAGTTTTTAGGCTGCTCAATTGAAAATGTACAAGTGGAATCAATGGATTGGTAGGAACAACTTAGTGGAGTTCCCAATATGCCCGCCTTACTAGCTATATGAGCACAGTCAGCCAGTGGAGGAAGATGATGAGACTAAAGAAGAAGATGATGAGAAAGAAGAGGATGATGCTGATGATGATGAGGAGTAGTTTTATTTATTTGTTTGTGGATGTATTAGATAGAATTTTTTATTTTTTGTTGTGTGGTTGTATTGGACTTTGTTTGTTATTTGTTGTTGCTACTGAACTCTTTCTACCAATTTGTATGTATTTATGTGGATTTATTTTTAGTTACCTGTTCTAACATTTAAACTTCCTCTAATGGAGATTCATTTCAATCCTAATTAGCTTTGATGTACTAGATGTTTCACATATGTTTGTCCTGTATATATCTGCTCATCTTGGTGGTAGACACATGTTGTAGGAAGTATTTCTGAGCTATTTTTCCCTGTTTATATTCTTGTTTTAAAAGGGGAGAAAAATCTTTTAAAAGCTTAAATTTATTTGATCTCAATAACTTGAATTGATATGATTAAGCAAATTTAAGGAACGTGGGGTTGAAATTTGAAATTATCACAATGTGAGGATAAAAAAGACAGTTTCTTTATGTTCAATTCTATGTAAATAAGCCTAGAATAATGTGAAGTTTTGTAGTTCAATAGGTAGAAAACATGATTTGACTATTTATTTTTTAAAAGAGTCATACATTTGTTAATTTAGATATACTTAAATATATATTTAATAAAAATTGAGCCTTTATAAATCATATTTTTACAAATACTTCTTAACTTTTGAAAAACTTAAAAAGTAAAGGAGAGCGATGAGTTTTACTTTAGAGAGATGATAGTGAAATATAAAATCATTAAAAGACTTATCCAGATGTAGTAATCCTCATAAAATATGCTAAGGATTAAAATCTACATCTTAAAGCTAGAAAAGATATTAGAAAGATAATATAAAGTGAGGAGAAGTTTGAGGAAAAACCTTATCAAAAATTGGTTTTACTAAGTTCTTTTTAAATTTAAAGCTTTATTACTCTCCTAAGCTTCCTATTGTTTGAGAAGTACTAGTAAATCTTTTTAAAAGGAGTGCTTCAATTCTGTTTTTCTACCATCTAAGATATCAGGTTTAGTAAGTGATAATTTCTTTTTGAAGTAAATAGAAAATCAGGTTTTCTTAGTTGGATGCAAGGTTTCTTATACCCTTGGTCTAGACTTGTTTACTAAAGCTATCTTAATCTTACACTATGAATTCCCTAAAGGCTAATTGTTGATAATTTTAATAAAACAAACTCTCTCAATTTAAATAAAATTTGTATTAATATTCTAGTTTTACCTGAGACAAGTAACATTTAAGTTTTGGAGATTTTGATGTGAAAAAAAATGCTTAATTTATATTCTATTTTGCACATTTTTATGGATGAAATTAAACTTTAAAGAAAGATATTTTTATATTTTTCTTGAAAGCATACATGTATTAGAAGTGGAGCAAAATAAAGAAGAAATGGAGTACAATGGAGGTGACTTGGAGCTAAGGAGAACACAAGTGGCCGGTGCTTTGGCGCCAAATTTCTTGGGCACCTAATTGTCTCTTTTGGTGAAGAATATGTAAGGTTTGTTGTAGGAAGGAATATGATAGGTTTCCTTGAGCAATTGGTGAGGAATTTGAGTTGTATTGTGAGGAGAGTGTTCAAGAAAGTAGAAAGGGAGCAGAAAATCCTTGAAGGAGCATTTTCAAAGCTTCGTAAGGAGAGAAAAAAAGCTTAGTATTTTGTATTTTCTCTTATTTTATTTCTATAAACACAATTATTAGTGGATTTTCTTATTTAAAATGATGTTTTGTGGTGTCTTCTTTATGTTTTATGAGTAGATCTCTTTTACTTTTCCTTCTAATGGTTGAGTAGGTTGTATAGAAGTGGAAAGTGTTTCTAAAATTGGTTTTTAAACTCTAATGTGATGAGTACTCTTCTAAGTTTCATTTACTTTTCATTATAGCCAAGTGAATTAATAAAATGAGTTGTGATCCATAATGACTCAGGAGAGCTATGCTAGAACAACTAGGTTATTCACATTGACTTATAGGGTATGGTGAAGTACTTTCCAGGGAGATGCAATTGTTAGGTATATAATCTTTGATGGGTTCAAATTGGGGTTTAAGGAACTAAAAATAATTTAATCAAACTTCTTTACTTTATGCACTTCTTTATGCACTCGAGAGAGGGTAAAGAAGAGAGTTACTCCTATTTGTCACTAGCTACATTCACAATTGACACTACATTTATACACTACCACTTAAATCATTGCAAGGGAAGGTATCTTTAGAACTTGATAATCACCAAACTAATTAGG